TTTTGTTTTTTTTTTTTTTTTTTTTTTGTATTATCCTAATAATGTGTGTAAGGCATGAACATGAATAAAAAAAATATGAACTTTGTAGGTGAGGACCTTATTTTAGGAGAACTTTCTGGAGTGGTTGTAACGGACCAGATATTAAATGAAATAATGTGGTGAAACTGGACGTGCATGCTTTTCATGATTGATGTCTCTCGTTCACGGTTCATTGCCTTCGACTTTGTCACTATAGTCGAGTTGTATACAAGGCGTCGAGTCACGGAATTTGCATTTGCATCTTCAATCATCGCTCGGTTGCTCGTCTTTTATAGACTAGTGTTGGTAAGTGCATTCTCTTTTAAGTCTTGGTTTGATATCGTTTTGGTCTATTGGTTTCGGTTGATTTCTAAGTGTTTCTCTTTGTTATTTATTTTATTGGCCTAGTGGTACTATAGTAGGCTATGGTTGCTGTTTTAGAGTAGTAGTTGTTGCAGTAACAGGTTGGATGTAACGGTCTAAGCTCAAGCCCACTGCTAGTCAGATCTCACAATCCATCCCCTTCGAGGCCACATTGCTGGCACTCGTTCCTCTTTCCAATCGATGTGGGATCTCACAACATACCCTCCAGCGTCCTTGCTGGCACACTGCTTGATGTTCACACCTTTAGGACTCCGCGTCCTCGCTGACACTCGTTCCTCTCTCCAATCAATGTGGGATCTCACAATCCGCCCCCCCTTCGGGACCTAACGTTCTCGCTAACACACCGCCCGATGCCCACCTCCCTTCAGGACCCAGCCTCCTCGCTGGCACACCGCCCAGTGTTCACCTCCTCCGAAGCCTAACATCCTCGCTAGCCCACCGCCCAGTGTTCACCTCCTTCGAAGCCTAACATCCTCGCTAGCCCACCGCCCGTTGTCTAGCTCTAATACCATTTGCAAGCCTAAGCCCATTACTAACAAATATTGTCCTCTTCGAGTTTTCCCATGTGAACTTCCCCTCAATATTTTAAAACGCGTCTACTAGAAAGAGGTTTCCATACCCTTATAAAGAATGCTTCGTTCCCCTCTCCAACCGATGCGGGATCCCACAATCCACCCCCTTCGAAGCCCAGCGTCCTTGCTGCACCTTGTTCCTCTCTCCAATCGATTTGGTAGAGAGAGGTTTCCATACCC